CTTTTATTACAGGCCTACCCGTACATTGGTTATGGCACACCACAACCAACTTTGCACTATCACGAATTACACATATTACTATTATGTTTTCAACCACAGATATATATATATGTGTGTGTGTCTCTTTAAATTTAGATACTGCGACACCAAATATATGATGAAAGACAACATAAAGGAGAAAAGTGCATAGTACCAAGCATATAATAAACAAAATGCACTTTAATACTGTTAAATTATATTTATACGAATAACATGATAAATAAATAACATTATTTGCACAAAATGAAGGGAAGAAACACAGCTCCAGCACTGCAATGTTAATTGTACACCAAATTTCCCAATTATCACTCTACTGGAGAAATCAATTGTGTACACAAGAAAAACTGCAGGAGTCATGTAGACTGTTTTACAAAAAAATCAAATCAGTTTTCAGACAGGATCTTTCAAAGTTAGAGGAAATACCATGCTTTGGTTATGCTCAACATAGAGGCAGAGGAAACAAGTCTGTTGACTGTAAGTTAATTTAACAAAAAAGGTATAGTATGAGCAATTATTCATTAGATACAAAACATTTTAAAACCACTACTTGACATTCGAAACAAAATTTGACACATTACTTTGGAATGATGTAAAGAAAAGGGTTAAAATGGTGGAACGGGTGAAAGAAGCATTAAGGGGGGTTGACCCTTACCACTAATATTGGGGTCCAGTCAGTGGACGAAGGAGGGGCAGGCCTACAATATTAGTGGAAACTACAGGAAAGAAAGTTTTTTAATCCTATGCTATTAAAGATTTTAGAAGAGTTTGGGCAAAAAACATTTTAAATGTATATTTTGTAATATATGTATAATATTGTATAATTTAATTAAAACATCTGATTAGCATATTATACATATATAATACATATATAATTTAATTAAGTGTATTTTGGTTTTAATAAATTAATACCAAAATACAGTAAGAATTAAATTATACATGTATTATATATGTATAATCTGCTAAGCATGTGTTTTAATTAACTTTTAATATATCATACATGTATAATACATGTATAATATGTGTGTTTTTAGCTTTTAATTTTTATTTCAAACACCAGGGGGACTGCCTGAACACTCAGGCAGTTCCCTTGCAGGCTTTGCAGCCATGTGATTTGCAACTTCCGTCGCGATCTCATGGCCCTGGAGGACCGGGAAGGAAGCAGGGGGACTGTCTGTCTCCTGAGGCAATCCACCCAGATCAGGATTGCCGGTCCAGCTAAGTAAATTGTGACCAGGGAGCGCAAGATCGTTAGTGTGTACTATGCCGCCCTAACAATGTTTATGCTTGTTAGGCTATGAGAGGAGGCATAGTACGCCCTAATGGCATTAAGGGGTTAAGAGAGTGCTAATCTCAGCTCATTACCTGTATAAAAGATACCTGGGAGCTAGAAATTTTGCTGATTGATAGGGGATCAAATACTTATTTCACTCATTGACATGCAAATCAAGTTATAACTTTTTTGACATGCATTTTTCTGAATTTTTTGTTTTGTTATACTGTCTCTCACTTTTAAAATACGCCTACCATTGAAATTATAGACCATTTCTTTGTCAGTGGGCAAATGTTCAAAATCAGCAGGGGATCAAATACTTTTTTCCCTTATTGTAATTAAAGAAACACTATAGTGTTATGAATATGAACATGTATTCCTAACTCTATAGTACATTTTCCTCAATCATTAGTTCATGCTACCGCAATCCCAGGCATATCTTTGACCTTTAACTCTCTTCTTCTCCCTGCTGTGGCCACCCCCCAAACTAACCTTACATCCGATAGCTTTGCATGCTACTTTATTGACAAGATTGAACAGCTAAGGAAATAATTCTCCCCACCTTGCCATTCTCTTTCTCAACCAAACGTGGATCATGAATTTCTTACCCTTCAGACTTTCTCCTTGGCTGCTGAACAAGAGGTGGCTGTGCTTCTCTTTCCTCTCGCCCCACCCCTTGCCCACTACATCCTGTCGCATCTCACCTCATCAGATCTCTCTCCCCTTCTCTTGTGCCTTCCTTAACACACATCTTCAACCGCTCTCTCTTGTCTGGCATTGTCCCTGCTGACCTTAAACATACCACGGTAGTACCTATTCTAAAAAAAACATCTCTTGACCCATCCTACCCCTCTAACTATCGCCCAATATCCCTGCTCCCTGCTCCCTTTTTCCTCAAAGCTTATGGAAAGACTTGTCTTTACCCATATGTATCACTTTCTCAATTCCAACTCTCTCTTTGACCCTCTTCAATCTGGCTTCCGCCCTCTCTACTCTACTGAGACTGCTTTTATCAAATTTACTAATGACCTACTGGCAGCTTAATCCAAAGGCCACTTCTCCATACTAATTCTTCTTGACTTCTCTGCTGCCTTTGACACCTTTGATCATGCTCTCCTTTTTCAAACTCTTCAATCACTCGGTCTCTATGACTCTGTCCTCTCGTGGTTTTCCTCTTATCTCTCCCATTGCTCATTCAGTTTCTCCTTTTTTTTTTTTTTGTAAATAAAGCTTTTATTAGCAGTTCAAACAATAACAGATAGCAGAGCTTATATCGTCAGTGAGACTCGCAGGTCTCCAATTGCGTCTGACACAGGTACCGCCAACTCTAGATGAACCTTTATAAAACGTTATCGGAAGCGGATGACCGCTGGCCCACATCAGTGAGGGCCGTATAATTCTATAGCTGAACCTCAATCCAATGATGAGTGGTGCGGTAGGTCCCAGGTCACGTCCTCGTACATGGGGAGTGAGAAAGGGGTCGGTTTGCGGGATCAGGTCCTATAGTCGTGCACCTGGCCTGGGGCTCCCTTTCCTGTTGTCTTTTCCTTAACTTTGGTGGTGCCTAGATATGTTGTGGGTTCTCTCCTGGGTCAGCTACCCCCCCTCCCCGGGTCTGCGTCCCCTCCCCCGCCGCGAGGGGGGGGGGGGAGCACCCAGGCCAGCCGTCTCTGTCGCATTGCTTACTTGTGGTCGGTCATCGTTATCATGCTTCAGTCGCTGTCCACGTGTGGTATCTATGGTGTGTCTGAAGTGTTTCCCCCTTCGGATGGGGATGGTGTGATGTCTCAGTGCTCAGTTGTATCAGTCATCCAGAGTTGGCTTGTGTTTGCTGTTTATTGTGGGAGTTCCCACTTCATGGGACCCCTCTGAGTCAATTGAGCGATGTCTCGTTGGGCCCACGTCCCTTAGGGAAGTCGTGGTGCCTTCTCGGGCTCAAATATATCGTGGCCCTGTTGCGCCTGGCGGTCCCCGGCCTCGCCCGGGGAAAGAGAGAGGGAAGAGGAGGGGAAAGATAGGTATGGGTGGGAGTGTGTAAGGGGGGAGGTCTGGAAGGTGTGGGGCATAGCTATGGTGTGGCATGAGTCTGTCCTGACTCCCGAGTTAGTCCATCAGTTCAGGTCTGGTTGAGGTGGGGAAGAGGGTGATTGTGTTAAGATGCGCGTGTTGGTCCAGCTGTCTAGGATCCCCATGGTGACCCATCCCCTATCCTTGTTGTGACGTGTATAAGTACCATGGCGTCCACAGTTCAAGGTGTTTGTCCCTCCTTCCAAGTATTTCAGCATATCTCGCCTCAGCTGTGTGGATCTCTTCTATTCTCTGCAGCCATTCCGTTTTGGAAGGTGGCTGGGTTTGCTTCCATTTCGCTGGGATCAATGCTTTGGCCGCATTCAGCAGATGTCGTAGGATTGAGCGTTTGTATTGTGCCAGCTGTCCCGTGAAGAAGTGTAGGAGCACAGCCTCTATGCTAAAGTCTGGTGGATCACCCAGAATTGTAGTGATTTCCCGCTGTATCTCCTCCCAGAATGGCTTGATCCCAGGGCAGTCCCACCAAATGTGGCGCAGTGTACCTCGCTGCGTTTCGCATCTCCAGCAAGTATCTGGAACCCCTGGGAATATCCTGTGTAGTTTTGCTGGTGTTCTGTACCACTGGGAGATCAGCTTGTAGTTCACCTCTTGGTACCTGGTGCTTATGGAGCTTTTGTGTTGTAATATGAGAATTTGCGCCCATTGGGCGTCTGTGAAGGTTCTGTCTGTCAATTCCTCCCACTGCCTCTGGAAGGCGTTGTTTCTGGAAAGTTCCCCTGTGAGCAATTGCTGGTATATGCCCGATACTCTACCATCTGCCTCTGGATAGCTCTGGCAGAGGTGTTCGAACCAGGTCCATTCTCTGTGTACCGCTTCCCTATTGGGCATATTGTGGTAAAAGTGTCGCAGTTGTTCGTAATGGAAACGGTGCATTACTGTCGGACGATCTGTGTCCGCCCAATCTTGAAGGCTGCGCAGGCTGGCGTTTGTCAGGACCGAACTCAGGGGTACATATCCCTCTGCTCCTTGCGTTGGCCACGCGTTTGCGTGTAGTCCCCCTCCTATGGTTACGTTATATGTCAGGGGGATCAGGGGGCTTGGCTGTGGCGAGATGTGAGCTTCCCTTCGCAGGGTGGTCCAGGTTTTCAGCGTCTGCGTCACTGGGGACTCCGCACCCAGGGCTTGTGTAGCCCCTGTCGGACGATGCCAGATGTATGTGTGGAGTGCTCTGTTTGTGCTTTCCCTGTCCAGCCTTGTCCATAGTTTGTTGGTGGGGGCCGTGTGCCATTCTCGAATTCTTTGCAGTACTGTCGCGTGGAAGTATCTCCGAAAGTCCGGCAGGGCCAGGCCTCCCCATGATTTTGGCAAACATAGTCTTTCATGCTTAAGCCG